GATTCAGACCTTGGCTTCCCCGAGGGGCAAGGCCGAGGGCAAGGGGGCGGCGATTCAGCGCTGCCCCGTCTGCGGAGGCTTTGCTGGTGGCGTGGCACTTGACGGTCAGGGCTTCGCTGTGTTCTTGGGCTCCTCTGGCTGCGAAGGCCTCTGGGGAAAAGGTATCGCGGACGGGGAGATGCAGGAAGGTTAAACCAGATTGACCTTGCTTTGTGCTCCGTAGCCCTCCGCCTTTCACGGTCTGCCCTTAGCAGTGGAGGGGATAACGGCAAGCGAGCGTGCAGGAGTGCTGAGCTGCAGCCGGGGCGTGCAGCGCTGTACAGGACAGCGGAGTCTGCTGTCCCGGGTGGGAATGTTCAATGAGATGAGTCAAAGTCATCCTAATACTTCCAAATAGAGCTGTGATGGGATAATAACTGCCTGAAGGCCAAGTCACACGGAGAGGACATATAGCAGTGTCCTGGATGGGATGCAATATGCGCTCTAGAAAAGAGGCTGTTATTTCCCCCTTGCACGAAGTACAAAAAAAACTTCATGTGTTGCATGTTCCCATCTGCAGCAGAGCCGTCTCCTTCCCCATCCCGCAGCGCTGATGTGTCTCAGATCTCTCAGAGCAGCCAGGGCGCAGTTTCCTGGGATAGCCAGGTTATCTTAATGGCTCTGAGGCTGGAAGGAGCTGCCCTGCACCTTCCCTGCCAGTCCAGCACCTGCTCTTTGGCCTCCTGAACCAGGTCTTGAAACCAGCTGAAAACTGATACTGCACAAAGTGACATCATCACCGCCCTGAAGTAACTCATGGGGGTTGGGTGAGCTGAGGAAATACAGTAAGAGCAAGACCAAGCTTCCCTGTCTCTTCCTTTTTAGCAACAGTCATTTGTTAAAAGCTGACATAAATCACATCTGAACTTCAGCTTTGCACCTACCTCCTTTTTTTTAATTGTAGCATTAATTTTCTATGTGCTAATGTTTTCTCAAGCAGAGTTTGAAAACAAATGATCAAGAAAGTTAACTTTTTTTGAAAAGTCTAAAGCACTGTCTACAACAAACAGCAAAACACAGCACCCACCTTGCCCTTGTGTGGTGCTTCCCTCAGTGCCAGTGGATTTCATTGCCTGGAATGGGATTCCTCTGTGCATCCTGTATCTCTGGGAGCAGAAATGCCTTCCCCAGGCCCAATGAGAAGCTGAGGCAATGTGACTGGAATAACCTAATGATCTCTGGCTGGCAGAGTAGGAGAACGGGGGAAGTGGGATGCCTGTAGATTCCTCCCCATCTAGTCCAAGAGCCGCAGAGCCCCCTGCATGCCTTCTCTGTCCTGCAGATCTGGGTACAGGATGCCATCCACTGCCTCCTCTGCAGCTTCTTGCCCCCAGTGTGGGCTCATGGCTTCCCAGCTGCTCCTCCTGAAACCTTGTGTGGGACGGTTGCAGAACCCACACCGTCATGTAGCCTGGTGGTCCTTG